ATCATAAAAACAGTTCGGAAATGTATGTTCTACTGATAGGTCATTAGAGTCATATTTCTATGTGAAAAGTAGTGATTTTCATTTCCGTTTTTCCCTTATTTTGTTTTTAGTTTGAAAAAGAGTTTACTGACCACCAAGAAACTCAGGCTCAATTGCAGAAAAAAGAGGCAAAGATAAATGAGCTTCAAGCAGAATTACAAGCTTTTAAATCACAGGTAAAATAACATCTTGAATCTATTTAGGGATTGAAAAAAATACCAAGGGAGCAAAGGTCATGTTATATCTTCTTAGCACTAAAATATTTAAATTTTAACTTCACTTTTAAGTTTTCATAGTATTGTGTATCTGTATTTCTGTTCTGCTGTGTTTATTTTTAAAACTTACTGTGCCACTTTTTCCTCTTTTTTTATTAAGCTTTTGCTAATTAATCTACTTCCTTATGTTTCATTGGGTTTTGTTCCTTATGTCACATATTTCCTAAGTAATTAAGCATAAAGGGTAAGAAAATCTTTTACTCTTAGATTTGTCATTCATCACTGATCTTTATCCCACTACAGGAAATTATTACTCAAGCTATTTATTTTTCAAAACCTTCAGCCTATGGGTACCTTGCAGTGAAAGATAACCTCTAGCAGAATGAGAACATTTTCTGATAATTTTTCAATTTCCAAAAGTAAACAGATTTAAAACATGACAAAAAAGAGAGCAAATCTGGATTATGAAGCAGATAGCTCACATATACCCTCTACACATAAAACATTTAGATAGCAAGAAATACATCAGCTGCATACTTTATATGGATGAAAGGAAGGAGGTTGAATGTTCATAGCTAAATTTCTTGTAGATTTACATACAAGATGATGAGCAATAAACATAGTTTTGCTATTTTCCTTTCGTCTAAAGTTATAGGTATGATGAAATGGTTTTAGCTCTACTATTTCCTGTACCGTTGTCCATTTTATTATTTTTTAAAAATAAGTTTCCACTAAAGTGGATAGTTTGGTTACAGAGGCCATCTGAAGATACTTCAGAGTTAGTAGTGTTAGTGTTGAGTGTTAGAAAAAAAAATTAATCTCCAGTATACAGGAAAATGATGATCATTATTCTTTCTTTAATGTTACAAGAAGGAAGTACCGCATTTTATTGAATGTTCGTGTTTTCACTGGGCCCCCTGTCTCTCACATTAAAAGAAACACTTGATTGTGTTCTGTACTTCTGATTCAGCTATACACAATGACTGGAATATTTATGACAAGTTTTTCTTTAGTGGGGCTAATAAGAATTTAAGAACTTTCTTTTTTAAAAAATTTTTCCAATTGAAGGATTACTTGTAAATCTACTCTAAAACAGTGCAATTTATTAAAACATATATATTTTCCATTTTTGGGAAAGTAATTAGAAGTTATAAAAGTTCTGTGGTGCCTTTGTATAAAATGAGAGTAAGTATAAATATTGAAATCGAGATTAAATCAGGGAGTTTCCTAATTGTTTTAAATTGTACACAGTAATGGCTGGTGTTATATGACTATCAGAAAAAAGCCTGGAATTAGAAATTTAATTTTGGCCACTATATTCATTTCTCGAGAATGATTAGCAGATTCTTTGGATTTTAGTCTGTATTTATAAACCTCTGCATTTAGCTTAAGAACCTCATGTTTGATGAAAGCCATGTTGACTATGAAGATTATGAATAAATACGATTTGTTATCTGTGATTTTATGCCATCGTTCCTTTAGTCATGTAGCAAGCAAGCACGAGTAGGTGCTGGGGATGAAAGGATAAGCAACGTAGCCACAATGTCTGGCCTTCTGAGCTATGTATGATACATCTTCAAAAGCTTATGGAAGGGACCAGCAGTTGGCATAATGGCTACTATGTCTCTGGACTCCCATGTAGTTGACCGTGGTTTGAGTCCTGGACCCAGTGGCTTAAACTCACGCTGGGCATGTGTGCGTGCATGCCCAAGATCCCGAGAGTAGAATGGAGGAGAAGGGATTGCGGCATGGCCATCCCCCCTGGGGGGGTGATTTCTTGCTTTCTGTCATTTTGTCTCTGTCTTTTTGGCGAGCACACGTACCCTGTAACAAAAACCTCTCAAAAAATTTTTTAAAAGTTAAAAAAAAAAAAAAGCTTATGGACAATGTATATTATGAAAAAAAAAGTTAAAAAAAAAAAATAGCTTATGGACAATGTATATTATGAAAAAAAAAACTATGCATAAATTTCAAAAGTTTTTGTAACAAAATAAACTTGTACTTTAATTTCATTTTTCCACACTTTTTAAGGTACCCTTATTTAAGACAATCATGCTTACTGTATTAAATGAACTCTTTTAGAGCAGAAATTCAATCATGTCTTTGTATTTAGATGCTAATAATTAATTATAAAATTAACGAATATGAGTATAATATACATACATTGTTAACATTCAAGAACAGTACTGTCCTTGACCACAATAATCCAGGGTAACCCTGAATGGATTACACTTTACAGTTGATGTTTTTTAAAAGACATATTCTTTCATTTGTGGTCTTAACTTCTTTTATAACATTGTTTTTCATTGTGCCGATCTCACATGTCATTGATTTTAGGCTTTTGATACATGGCTCCTTTTTTTGTAATTGTGCCATAAAACATTTAAAATGATTTACTAATGTTTATTAAATGGCCATCCTTTGCAAGAGGAGAGGATGTGTGTATGTGTTTGTGTGTGTGCGCACACACACATATGTATATGGGTTAGAACTGAAGTTAGCAATTTCAAGAAAATAGTTTACCATGTCTTGAAAACAAGAAAAGTAACCAGTGGACACAGCTCGATCTGTCTCACTCCTGATTTCGCCTTGCTTCTCTGTGGCATTTGACTGTGTAGATCAGTGTTTTCTCGGGGGAAGAGGGAGGACTCACGTCATCTGTGGTTTATGACTCTGTGCCTTTTCTTGTCTTTCATTCATTTATCCTACACATTTCAATGGCTGTCATGTGCCAGTCACTGCTCTAGGTGCTGGGGAAAGAACAGTAAACATTAAAAATAGTCATTTCCCTCATCAAGGTTATAATCTACCAGAGAGATGAATGTTAATGATTTTTAAAATACATATTTCAAACTGTTTTTTTGAAAGAAAGATTTTTGTTATAGGGCATATGCTTTTGCTGGAGAGACAGAGAAAAAGGGAGAAACCCCCCCCGCCACCCTCCAGAGCAGATGGCCATACTGCAATCCATTCTCCTCCATTCTTTTCCTGGAATCTTGGGCACACATGCATAGGTGTCTGGTGTGAGTTTTAAGTCGCCAGGTCTGGGATTCAAACTGTAGTAGGCTATGTGGGAGTCCAGCGATGTAACCATTACGTCCTCTGCTGGTCCCAGTTATTTTATACTTTTACAAGTGCTATTGAAGGGAAGTACAGAACGCTGTGAGTCTAAAACTAGTGGACAAATAAGACTTTCCTGAGGAAGGGGCATGTTTGCTGTTGGAAGGTGGCCAGGTGGGGGAACTATTCCAGACCTGACTAAAAGGGCTGTTAGAAGGTGGCCAGGTGGGGGAACTATTCCAGACAGAGCGAACAGCATGTACCAGGGTCCTGAATCAACCTGAGGTTGTCACATACGTGGAATTAGAGGAAAGTCTCTTGAAAAACCAGTTACCAGAGACCAGATCATGACACACCCATGTAGGCCCAACTTAAAATTATTGTTTTTTTTTTTTTTCTCCCTCTCAATTCTATTGTATTAGAACATCTTTGATAAAATTTGAGCAAGGTAGCATGTGGCAATACCATTTGAGTCTTTTTTTTTTTTTCTGTTTCTAATTATTTTATTTTTATGCTTTATTACTTATATGCTTGTGTTTCAAAGAATTTTGTATATAGACCTTTTCTCTGCTACATACTTTCTACATACTCTAAGTGAACTTAACTGCTTTTGTGACTTGAGCTGTCCCTCAGAGACTGCTGATTTTCCAATCTGTAGACCACTTCCCTTCCAGACAACTCCACCTGGATGGGTATAATTATTTCAAATTTCTTTTTGCAATTACATTTTTATGAAAACAAAAGCTATATTCTTTTTTCTCTTTTTTTAAGAAATTTATTTCCCTTAGGGTATGTGTGTTTATTGGAGGGAGGGGAGAGAGAGAGAGAGAGAGAGAGAGAGAGAGAGGAAATAAGTCACGCTGCAGAGGGATGACCATGCCACAGTCACTTCTCCTCCATTCTCCTCTTGGGATCTTGAGCATATACACACACACTTGGTGTGAGTTTTAAGTAGCTGGGTCTGGGACTCAAACTGTGGTTGGCCATGTAGGAGTCCAGTGATGTGACCACTATGCCATCTGCTGGCCTCAGCTATAATTATATTCTTAAATTGGAAGAAAAATGGTTGGACTTTTATTTTTAGATTAAAGTATGTTTTTACCAATATACAATTATTTTTAGTTTAAAACAATACATTACTCTTCAGTATAGTGTGCTTTTACACGTTTTATAGGCATGTTCTTTGTTGTATTTCTTATTCTTATTATTTTTTCTAGTTTGGTGCTTTGCCAGCTGGTACGAATATTCCTTTGTTCCCATCAAAAGAAGATGGAACTGGACAGCCAGCACCTCCTCCCCTCCTGCCTGCTGGTGGAGGGTTGCCACCTCCCCCCCCTCCTCCACCACCTCCTCCACTTCCAGGATACCATTTGGTGGTTCTATTCCTCCTCCACCCCCGCTTGGATTTCTTGGTGGAGGAAACGCTCCTGTACCAACCCTGCCATTTGGGTTGAAACCAAAGAAAGAATTTAAACCTGAAATCAGCATGAGAAGATTGAATTGGTTAAAGGTAATACAAATGAATGGAGGAAAGCATACTTGGATTAAATTTTTATTTTAGATTTACTTATGTAAACTTTCCAATGGAAATCTTAATCAAAGTGACAGTAAATAAAATGACATTATTTTTAAGGAAAAAAGTGTGGAGACAAAGTGCTTTGGTCTTGAATAAAGCTTTTTGGTTTTTAAATTTAGGACTCGTTGAAGTTCTTCCCGTGGAATCTGATTTGAAATTAAATTGATAATTGAACATTATCTTGATTGAACTCTACACAAAGTATTTCTCAAAATTGTAAAAATCTTAGTGCTATAAGGAACTTTTTTCCATTGATAGCTATTGGGAAAAGTATTCCTTTTTCTAAGAAGCTGGTCTTCAGTCAGGTCACACAGGAATTCTGAATTCTATAGAAAGATGGTTTCTTGGTCACACAAGCCTGTCAGTTGCTGGTAATGTATTATGCCTTTCAAGAGTCACAGTGCAGGGAACCAACAGTTAGTGTAATGGCTATGTCACTGGACTCCCACATAGTTGACCGCGGTTTGCGTCCCGAACCCGGTGGCTTAACACTCACGCCGGGCGCATGTGCGTGTGTGCCCAAGATCCCGAGAGGAGAATGGAGGAGAAGGGATTGTGGCGTGACCATCCCCCCTGGGGGGTGATTTCTCTCTTTCTGTCTCTATGTCTCTCTCTGGCTGGCTGGTGATCGCACACGCCCTATAGCAAAAACAAAACAAAACAAAACCAAAAAAAACCCAAAAACCTCTCCAAAAAAAAAAGTCACAGTGCAGGTGAGCATTACAATGAAGAAAAACGTCATTTCATCAATCTTGAACTATTTGATCATAGAAACATTTTCTTTATAATAAGAATTTAAAGTTCTACCCAGCTTGTGTTTCATTTCATGCACTTTGGGGGGGAAGTCTTAACAGAGACTACCTTGTAGACATCTCAAAGCTGCTATGGGACACTGGGATTATACATAGCAAGTGGGCTGGAACAGGTGAAACACCCAACTATGTATGAAGCTGTCTTCTCTCTCTCTCTCTCCCTTTTTTACAGATCAGACCTCATGAAATGACTGAAAATTGTTTCTGGGTAAAAGTAAATGAAAATAAATATGAAAATGTGGATTTACTTTGTAAACTTGAGAATACATTTTGTTGCCAACAAAAAGGTAAGTTTAATGTCATGATTATTTATTGATTTGGAATTTTAATACTGCTATTTCTTATGCACTAACCTACAGTAAAACTTAATTAATTATTTTAAATTTCATTTATTTATTTATTTTTTTGCACCAAATGGGATTTTTTTTTTTTTTGGAGAGTGCACTCACTGGAAAGAGAAAGGGAAACAGAAAGATGGAAAGTGAGAAATCACTCCCCAGGGGGGATGGCCATGCTGCAAACCCTTCTCCATTCTCATCTCAGGATTTTGAGCTTGCATGCACACAGGCCTAGCATGATTTTAAATCTGCTAGGTCCAGGACTCCGATTGCTGTCAGCCATATCATATTCCAGAGCCTTAACCACCATGCCACCTGCTACCCCCTTCTTAGGTTTTCTTGAGAAACTCATTTTGAACCTAGTTTCTTTCTGCTTGTTATTTCAATTACTTCTGTTTTATTTCTTCTTAATAATATAACGTAAAACTCTTGCTTTAGAAAGCTTTCTTTTAAAAAAATAGTTTTAGTTATCTTAAGATTGATCAGATTTTTTTAATTAAATATTTAAATAAAAGAATTCATTGATGTATAATAATAATTGCACATATTTATGTATGATACGATTTTTTAGTACTTGAATACAATATGTAATCATTAACAATTTAATTATGACATATCCATGATCTAAAATATTTATTAGTACTTTGTGCTGGAAACATTCAAAAAGAGGGTATTTTTAGAAATAATTTTTGCATTATGATTTCATTTAGTCAGTGAAATAGGAAAACAAAGCGAGAGCCTTCTTCTGCTCAGCATTTTACCACCCTTAATATTACAGCAATTGTCACATAATTACTTGCTATGAGTCACCTAAGATAAAAATAACAAATTTAAAGTGTCTTGAAATTTAGCTTTAAGAAGTATTTGAGTAGGTTATATAATCTTTACATTAAAAACCATCAATGGCATTCATTTTCCAAATTGTTTTGTGATAGTTTTTACCTGTGTAGTGTGATTTTTAAAAAATTATTCAAGTATTACTCTTGTCATAAAAGTGAATTTATTCCATTCAGTCCTATAGATTTTCCACATATATATCAAGGCTAATATCCACCTATATTGTTACTTTTTAAGTGTTATCAAGAACTTATATTTTAGGTCTGTGGCCCTAAGAATGTAGAGCAATCATTACCATTTAATGTTGAAAAGAACCTTTTCACTGGTATCTTCTTGCTACCTATATTCTTGGACTGATTGAAGTCTGACTGAATTGGCAGGGAAAGGAAAGACCTTATCGGATGGATGCAGGTGGGAGAAGGACCTTGGTGTAAAGAGGGAAACATTGACATCTTAAAATGCCTAGTTCACTAGATACCATCTAGACAGATGCTTTACATGTATGATTTAACTTGGGTATAGCAATACAAGAATGTTGACAGGTACCCTAAGAGTTCATTTGTTATTTCTTTGAAATGGTTTCTAAAAAATCGTTTTAAGTTAGAAACTCTTTCTAAAAGGTAATTGTAAATTAATATAAATTTCTAGAATTCATTGTAATCAAACACCTTTAGCAGATATTTTTGAGCACCATTGGTCTTTTTTTTTTTTTGGAGAGGTTTTCACTATAGGGCGCGTGCGCTTGCCAGACAGAGAGAGGCATAGAGACAGAAAGCGAGAAATCACCCCCCAGAGGGGATGGTCACGCTGCAATCCCTTTTCCTCCATTCTCCTCTCGGGATCTTGGGCGCACATGCGCCCGGCGTGAGTTTTAAGCCACCAGGTCTGGGACGCGAACCGTGGTCGACTACGTGGGAGTCCAGCGACATAGCCATTATGCTAACTGCTGGTTCCGGAGCACTATTGGTCTTGAGTAAAATATTAACAATGATATATTTTGGTCTTTGAGAATAGAATTTTCTTAGCAAGCTCACCCTAGGAAAATTTGTAAAGTAAGCAGATCTTAATTTTACCTTTTGATTATGGAGAATCAAATTTTTTTTTTGAATAAGATTAGCACACTCTTTAGGCAATCAAAGAAAATATATGGCAGTTTAAGTGAGTATTTACATGTAAAACACTTCAGAAATTCAGGTTTTATAATCTGGAATTGATTAGTTTTCTCTTTGCTTGCCTAGTAGGTACAAATGGTGGGACCTAAAAGCTATTTAAGTAATGCTGCCATCCAGTTACTCTCCCTCTCTCTCTTTTTCTCTTTACTCTGATTACTATCTTAATTAATGAGGCTCAAAAGGGAAACTTGTTAGCATGTCTTTAATTTAGCTGTAGTGTTAGCCCTAAATGAAATAATTGGACTTTTAAAAAATTCTTAAGTCATCTAACTTTAGCCTTGAGATTCAAGGTTGAAAAAAAATGTTGTGTTTGCTCACTCTTAACACCAGTTATAAAGATTAGGGTGAAAAATAATCTTTCTTCAGAATATTCTGTATTTCTACCCCTCCCTGCCTTTGTACATGCTGGCCCATTGGCCCCTATCAGTTGACTTAGAGGATGAGAGAAGACTATATGGCATCTTTTGTTTCAGCTTAAATGTTGCTTTCTCTTTTCTGTGACTGTGGATGATACTTGGTCTTGAGTAAAATATTAACAATGATAAATTTTGGTCTTTGAGAATAGAATTTTCTTAGTAAGCTCACACTAGGAAAATTTGTGAAGAAAGCAGATCTTTATTCCAGGGTGAACAGAAAAGATGGAGGAAGCTCAGAGTTGTGATCATGAGCAATGCCAACCTTTCACAATGCGTTCAAGATGAACTGTGAAGGTGAATATGTTTTGATTTGCATTCTAAAGAATAATTCCTAGAAAGCATTATTTACATAGTCCTAAGTGTGATTTTTGGTATCATTAATAGATATGCATTGGAAAAGGCCAGTCATGGCTGCTTTCAGAGAAACAGGATATTATGCTGATATTTAATAGGAAGCTCAGAAGGAGAGAAAAGGAAAAGAAAGAAGAGAAACACAGAAAGACTTAAACAAGACTATGAGCTGCTGGATCGAGCAGGTTGTTCGCTGTTACCTCCCTTTTCACGACCTGGCTGCTAAGGCATTGGGTTCAAATGGTTGTCTGTCCCTCATGATTCCAAAAACTACTTTGGTTGAATCAATTTTGTAATTTCTGAAGAATTCAGAATTAAACCTGGTCATGTATACATTGTACAACAGGTGAAATTCCACTTGTTTCTTTTAGAGAAATGGCATATTTCAATATATATTTTTTATTACATTAACTCCTTGGGCTAAGAAATAGGGTTATTTTCTAATTAAGATGAGCATTTCTAATTTTTGAGCATTCAAAATAATAAGAACAGAAGAACTGAATCCAGTCATTTAAAGAGAACCTTTAATTTTTTTCTCACATAGTCTTTCTTTTCTTGTAAGTATGGCTTTTTTTCTTATAGTAGACACTGCTTTAGGTTTCCAAGACTTTTAGCTTCAGTTTACTTGGGTTTGCAGGTCTAATACCATGGGAGTTAGAAAAGGAGAAGAACTAATAACTATCGAGCTCCTGTGGTGGACCTGTCCCTGAGCTGAGTCTTCTCCGGGTTAATTTATTTAACCTTCACCATATTTACTTGAGATCTTGTTTTTTGGTCTACTCATTACTAAAAAATTCTGATGTCCCACAATACTATCCTACCCCATCTGTCTGTAGATAAATCAAGGTATCCTTGATAAGAGTTTGGACTTTTCCTCTTTATTCCTATTGCCCTTTATTTTACATATTCATGTATTTATAAATTTTCATACCCTCTTCCCTTCATACCCTCCCAAATAGATCTTACTTTTTTTTTTTTTTTTTAACTTCATATCTTTTTTTTGGGAAAGTTGCCTTACTCTGTATCCTTTCTCTTTTTTTAAGTCCATCCCTTTTGTATTCAGGGAGGTCTCCAAATACAAACCAGTAACCTTTTATGTGTTTGTTTGTTCGTTTGTTTTGAGAGGTTTTTGCTATAGGGTGTGTGCGCTTGCCAGAAAGACAGAGACAGAAAGCAAAAAATAACCCCTTGGTGGGGGCACACAGCCACGTCACAATCCCTTCCCCTTCATTCTCCTCTCCGGATCTTGGGCACGCATGTACACTCATAGCATGAGTCCCACTGGGTCTGGGACTCGAACCGTGGTCGACTACATGGGAGTCCAGCAACATAGCCATTACGCCATTTGCTGGTCCCTATGTGGGTGTTATTTTAAGAAGCATAACATTTGACCTTTGCACCACCATCTGGCTTCTGCCATATCTTAAGTACAAAACTCCTCTAAAGCCTTTCCCAGTGAAATCAACATTTTTCCCCCATTTTAATTGTATAACTTTATTTTTTATTTCTTATTTTGCTGTTGAGTTACTCACTTTGGTTTTCTAGCTTCTTTCTGTTATAGCTTTTTGAGATAAACTTAGTTTCTATGTTCTAAGTACTGGAAATAAATGTGGGTACTTTTACAGATCTTTTGTTTCCCTATTATTTATTCTCTTTCAGTCCATCATCCTATCCGTCTGTCCGTCCGTCCTTCCTTCCTTCCTTCCTTCCTTCCTTCCTTCCTTTCTTTCGTCTCTCACTTTCCATTTGGTTACCACCACTCAAGTCATCAAATATTTACTGGGTGGATATTGCATGTTGGGCCTTGTTTGGGGCACTGGGAATGCTAGAGTAAGTAAGGCAGACATGTTCCCTGTGCTCCTTTTGCTCTTACACTCTTAGTGAAACTCAGTGTTCTAGTTGAAGCATAAGAATGAGGAATTGAATAACAAATGCTGATTTTCATTTTAGGAAAGACTGCCATATTTTGCTATCTTCAGCTTCTGTTAAGACTTAACAAGGTTATAAAAGAACATTGTTTATATATATCTCTCTCTGAAATTTAATCACAATATTCATATATTGAACATTTGGTATCATCAAAATAATGCTAATGACCTGTGTATTTTTTACCAGATTGGAAGCATCTGTTGGTTAATTTTTACAGGCTGTTGGAAAATGGATTAACGTATAC